TACAGAGAAATTACAGAGGAGAGAACCCATGTGAACATAATCTTTTTGTCTTGGTCAAACTAAAGAATTAAGAAATTGAAGTCTCTGGTTTTTGTCTACACATATCGTTGACTTGTTCATTAGCCTATATATACACAAGTTATTTAAAGAAATCAACTAAAAAATACAAGTTGGCTTTTTTGTTGATTAGTGTCTACTTGTTAGATAATGATTTATACGTTGTGAGCACAACAAAATTGATATCTACCAGAGAGTTGACATTGTCTTAAAGTTGTTGACTTTGAACAAAAAAAAAACTCTGGTGTTTACACAAATGGATAAACCAGTTTTACATTATAGGAGATGATCGTTGTTTCTGCCGTTTGAAGAACCGAGATGATGGCATCGAAGGCGAAGGCGCTTACGTTCCTTTGTTGTGTGGCTATCATCAATCTTGCCATTGCCCAGGATCAATCAGGTTTGGTCAAATTACATATTATGCTCTTCTTTGATCTTTTATCTGTATAATATGAAAAAAAAAAACAGAGAAATTTTAAGATAAAAACTGGTTTTTAAACATCTGAATAGGGTTCATTAGCATAGACTGCGGGTTACAATCGGAAAATTCCAGCTACACGGAAACATCGACTGGTATTAAGTATGTTTCGGATTCGAGTTATACGGATACAGGGACAAGCAATTTCGTTGCGCCTGAGAGTAGACAAAATATGATGCAGAGCATGTGGTCTGTTAGAAGTTTTCCAGAGGGAATCAGAAACTGTTACACTATTGCTGTTAAAAGCAGCACCAAGTATTTGATCCGAGCGGCTTTTATGTATGGTAACTACGATTCGAGGAACGAGATACCGGGATTTGATCTTCACTTGGGTCCAAACAAATGGGACACTGTTGAATTGGTGTCCCCTCTCCAAACAGAGTCCAAGGAGATCATATATTATGTGTTGACAGATACATTACAAGTGTGTTTAGTGAATACAGGAAACGGTACGCCTTTTATATCGGTATTGGAACTTAGACCATTGCCGAATTCTTCTTATGTGTCTCAATCTGAATCACTTCAACTCTTTCAACGGTTGGATTTTGGATCGACAACAAATTTAACGGTCAGGTATCCAAACGATGTTTTTGATCGGATATGGTTTCCCTCAACGCCAAATGGGACAAAGCCGTTAAGTGACCCGTCGACTTCTCTCACAAGTAATAGTACCGGTAATTTCCGTCTTCCCCAAGTTGTAATGAGAACTGGAATTGTACCAGATAATCCAAGAGGGTTTGTAGATTTTGGATGGATTCCAGATGATCCGTCTCTCGAGTTTTTCGTTTACTTGTATTTCACGGAACTTCAACAACCGAGTTCCAATTCCGCGGAAACAAGAGAATTCGTAATCTTGTTGAACGGAAAGGCTTTTGGGGGACCGCTTAGTCTTAATTACTTCCAGACCTTAGCCCTGATCACTCCAAACCCTTTGAAAGCACAGAGCTTCCAGTTTTCTCTTCGTCAGACTCAGAGTTCATCTCTTCCACCTCTGATCAATGCTATGGAGACTTACTTTACTAAGAAACTTCCGCAATCATCGACCGATCAAAACGACCGTAAACTCTCTCATTCCTCTGCTTTTCCATTCCAGGTCTGCATTTTTCTGGCTCTATCTTACCCATTTTCTCTATGAACATTCTAGTTTCCGCTATGAGGAATATTAAGTCTGCATATAAAGTCAAGAGAAACTGGGAAGGAGACGTGTGTGCGCCTCAAGCTTACACATGGGAAGGTGTGAATTGTAGCTTCAGTGGCACAAACATGCCTAGAGTAATAGCTTTGTAAGTGTCTTATAAACAGTTTCCTTCTCTCAATCTTGAGTGAGTCTCAGCAGTTATTAGCTCTATGCAACAGGAACTTGTCATCCGCCGGATTGACAGGAGAGATAACGTCTGATATATCGCGGCTTTCACAGTTGCAACTTCTGTAAGATTGTTCTCTTGGTGGTAATAATGGTATGCAAATAGTAGTAGTCGCTCACGTTTTTAACTTTCAGGGACTTATCAAATAACAATTTGACTGGACCAGTACCAGCTTTCTTAGTTCAACTCCAATTCCTGAGAGTCTTGTATGTATTTTCTCAACCAGACATAATAGTAAAATAACTTATAACTCCTGATAACCAGTAAATGACATTATCTACTGTGGATTTTGTAGACATTTGGCGAACAACCAGCTTAGTGGTCCTCTACCATCTAGTCTCATAGAGAGGCTAGAGTCGTTTAGGTACTCAAAAAAACACATTTCTTTCTCATTCTATATATGTTTGAGAAACTGTTGAACGGTTTAACTCATACTTCTTAGTATCTAATGCAGTATCAATGGGAATCCAAGTATTTGTTCTACAAATGCTTGTGAAGAGGTCTCACAAAATAGATCAAAGAAAAATAAACTTCCCAGCTTTGTCATTCCATTAGTTGCATCACTTGCAGGGCTGCTTCTTCTTATTATCATATCTGCAGCTATATTTTTTATCATCATGAGAAAAAATAAACAAGGTATGTTTTAGTGAAGTGACATGTTTTCGATTTTACGGGAAAATGGTGTTGGTAATGTGTATGGTTTTTGCTGCAGGTCGAACGATTAACCGGACAGTTACAGCTACGAGTAATGGACCGTCATTACAGAGGAGAGATACCGGTTCAATGCGTCCATCTATGCAGCGAAGAGAAATCGGGTTTTCAACAAGACCATCTTTACAGAGAATAGAGAGCGGAATGACAGACTATGGAGGGAATGAAACAGCAGTTGATGCCTTTGATTTGGAACCCGCAAATAGGAAGTTTACATATGCAGAGATTGTCAATATTACAAATGGGTTTGAGAGAGATCAAGGGAAGGTAGGATTTGGAAGAAACTATCTTGGACAGTTAGATGGTAAAGAAGTAACTGTCAAGCTTGTTTCTTCACTATCTTCTCAAGGCTACAAACAACTCAGAGCAGAGGTATATACTCTGTTATTAACCAATATATTTTTTTGTTGATAGTTAATGAAAAGGGACTTAGAAGAGCTTATGTGAATGCTGATTGTAGGTCAAACACCTTTTCAGAATTCATCATAAAAACCTTATAACTATGCTTGGTTATTGCAACGAAGGCGATAAAATGGCGGTTATATATGAATATATGGCTAATGGAAACTTGAAACAACATATCTCAGGTTTTGAAATCTTGTTCTGCTTTACATTCTTCTTAAAGTAAAACCAATATCTCAGTTATGATCTTCTCTTGTGCAGAGAACAGTACAACGGTTTTTAGCTGGGAAGATAGGCTCGGGATAGCGGTTGATGTCGCACAAGGTTAGCATTTGAAATTCACTCTTGTATTGGACTGAAACAATCTCCCTCTATATATCTTGGAGTTCTGTTTCTAAAACAAGTTATGTTTCTATAACAAGTTAAGTTATTGCCGTTGAATTTTAGGACTTGAGTATTTGCATACTGGCTGCACTCCGCCAATCATTCATAGAAACGTCAAGTGTACAAATGTATTCTTAGATGGAAATTTCAATGCGAAGTTAGGCGGTTTTGGCCTTTCGAGAGCGTTTGATGCAGCAGAGGGAAGTCATTTGAATACAGCCATAGCAGGCACTCCTGGATATGTCGATCCTGAGTAAGCTCAAAGCTCGAATCTTAGCGAAAATGCAGAAGAAATGTGCTTTCTTTTCTCGGTCTTTTCATATGAATATCTTATCTTTTATTGCAGGTACTACACATCAAACATGTTAACAGAGAAGAGTGATGTGTACAGTTTCGGTGTAGTTCTATTAGAGATTGTTACCGCGAAACCCGCAATCATAAAGAATGAGGAAAGGATGCATATAAGTCAATGGGTTGAGTCTTTGCTTTCAAGAGAAAATATTGTAGAGATTCTTGACCCAAGTCTTTGCGGAGACTATGATCCAAACTCTGCGTTCAAGACCGTGGAAATAGCCGTGGCTTGCGTTTGTCGAAATTCTGGCGATAGACCCGGGATGAATCAAGTGGTGACGGCTCTTAAGGAGAGTTTAGCTGTAGAGGTTGAGAGGAAAAAGCATTTGCCAGTTGTTTCAACAGATTCACTTGAAGAGCTCGCACTTGGCTTTGGTTCCAATCCACCTCCTCGTTTGAGATGATTATTTATTGATTTTGTTTTTTTGTAATGTTTGTGGTCTCTGAAAATAATTTGTTACATAAGTTTTTTTTTTTGTGAGTTGGAATAACCAAAAAAATCGTTGTGCATACAGGTTTGATTCATTTGAGGATTTTTCTTACCGTTTATGTTGGTATTTTGAAGAGGATAAAAAAACAGAGTAAGAGATAAGACTCTTCTAAAGAAGAAAAGTAAACGAAAAAACTTTTTATTGAATCTGAAACTTGTTGGTTTATTACAACAACACTCATTCACTTATATACATGTCGTACGGTCGTAACCGTTCGTAACTTGTGGAAACCGACAACTTAATAACACAACTCATTAACACACACCCGTTAATACACTATATTAATATATGTTAAATATGTGACCAAACTCAATTACCACTAACACTCCCCCTTAATTGAGTTTCTGTCTAAACCCAAGTTCGCTTCTTGTTGACTTCTGTTCCTTCTCTTCACAACCTTTTCTTCTTCCTCTTGTTGTTGTCTTTCTCTTTGTTGCACAATATGACACTCTTTTGTCAATTGTATTTGTTTTCTTTTGACATAAGAGCTCTTGGAATTTTTCTTTCCCGCAAATCTTTTCCATGTCACCTTCAAGTTTACCATGACCTTTTTTACGATTTACTTGAAGTCTCCATGACCTTTCCTCATGTCTTCTCCGGGATCTTTTATCACGGCTGTTCTTGCAACCTTCTTCCACTCCCTTTCTCTTAGGTGAGCCTTCTTCTTATTCCCTTTTGGTGTCCTCTTGATCACCAAATTTGTGATCCTTTGATCACCATCACATCTCTGTGACTTCTTGTGCGTGAATCTTCTCCACGTCTTCTTCGATTGTATCTACAACAACCCAATGCTTCCTTTCACTCTTAGGTAAGCATCTCTCCTTTTTGCTTGGTGTCTTCCTTTGATCACCATCACGTCACGTAGACGCCTTGTGCGTGAACATCGTCACGTCTTCTTCGGTGTCTTCTTTTGATCACCATAACGTCTCCATGACGTCTTGTGCGTGAATCTTCTTCACGTCGTCTTCGGTTTACTCTTCAACCGACTTATGCTCCATTTTTCTCCGAGGTAAGCATCCTCTTGTGCTCCATTTTTCTCCGAGGTAAGCATCCTCTTATGGTGTCCTCTTTTGATCACCATCACGTCTCGATGACGTCTCATCAGTTCCCTTGAACCTTTTTGCTGAGTAGCCTTGCACTGTTCTCCCAACAGAAGCTTACTCCGTGTTGCAGTGTTCTTTACAATTCAACAACACCTTTTGATACTAAGCCTTGCTCTGTTTCTTACACAGGCGGCTTCCTCCGTCTTGTTTCAGTTGACTCCTACTTCGGATTCTCAACTTCATCAAGTGATGTCTTCTTTGCATCCTTGAACTTCACCAAGACCTTGTTGAACAAAGTTTCAGAATTCTCCTTCCACAACTCCAAATCCACATCCGTTTTCTCCGTTGCCTTTAGAAAAGATTTCCTATCTTCTTCATCGCTTTTGGAGCCTTCTTCTTGAAGGAAATGCTTGTGAATACGTTTGTGAAGGTTGATGGTACCCTCTCTTGTCACCATCAATTTTTTTCTTCCTTCCCTGTTTCTTCTTCTTCTCCTTTTTTTTTCTTTTCGGTTTCTCACCGTTAATTTGTTGTCTCCATCTTTCTCTTCTTCTCGCAGCGGAATTTTTTCTTATCTTTGTTTTACTTGGACAGGCTCCAAGACCAAATAAGCTCTGATACCATGTAGAACTTTGAACTCTCAAAGTGTTTAAGGATCGGACAACACAGATTTTACTCTGTTTTGTCTTACCTCTCTGTTTTGTATAACGTAAAACCACACACTTTTATTAGATATATAAACTGTATTTATAGTTTTACATGACACACTTTGACTAAGGGACACGTCTCTACAAGACAACCCAATGTGGAGACACATACATACACGTGTAACTGTTTTGCAGTTAACGATTCTATTCGTATCTCTTCGGTGTGTAATACGAATAGTTTATACATAACAAAACTCAGTTACTTAACTCTATAATATAAGACTCTAAATAAAACTACCATGAAGACTTGATCACGACCAACACTCCTCCTTGATCATGGCTTCATCTTCACGCCTAGCTCTTCTCGTAGAGACTCAAACCTTAACGTGTTTAACGGTTTGGTTAAGATATCAGCGACTTGAAACTCTCCTGGACAATGTTCAAGCTTGATTTTTCCTTCTTGCTCAGCTTCTCTTACGAAATGATACTTGATGTCGATGTGCTTTGTTCGACGATGTTGAACTGGATTCTTTCCTATAGCAATTGCAGATTTGTTATCACATAGAATCCTTGTACCTTTTTCAGTCTTGAATCCGATTTCATTCACTAGCCTTTGTAGCCATATGGCTTGATTTGCTGCAGAACAAATCGCAATGTACTCGGCCTCAGCCGTTGATTGAGCAACCGTCTTCTGCTTGCTTGAGTTCCAACAGCAGGTACCAGATCCAATCGTAAAGACATAGCCGCTTGTACTCTTCTTGTCTTCCACTGAACCACCCCAATCACTATCGGAGAATCCCACCAACTCTGGTTCTTCTACTCGCTTGAACTGAATGCCATAGTTCAAAGTACCTTTAACATACCTTAGAACTCGCTTGGCTTCTTGGTAATGTTGCATCGTTGGAGCAGCTATGTAATGAGACAGGTATGAACTTGCATACATGATGTCTGGCCGTGAAGCACAAAGATATAGCAAACCTCCGATTATGCTTCTATACTTTGTAACATCTTCAAGGTTCTCCTTTAAGACTTCCTTCTTCTTTCCATGAGGAGTTAATGGTGTTGACAGACTTTTGCAGTCTTGCATTCCAAATTTCTTCAAGAGCTTCTTTGCATAATTTTCTTGTGACAAGAAAATACCTTCTTCGTTTTGGGTTACTTCCATGCCGAGAAAGTAACTTAGCTCTCCTAAGTCGGTCATTTCAAACTCATTCTTCATCTCCTCCTTGAATTGTTCAATCTCCTTTATTTTGCTTCCCGTGACTATGATGTCATCAACATATAAACTAACCACCATTATCTCCTTTGAGGTCTTCTTCACATAAAGCGCTGCATCATTGATGCTTCTCACAAAGCCATTCTTGATAAAATATCCATCAATACGTCCATACCATGCTCTAGGAGCTTGCTTTAAACCGTATAGCGCTTTGTGAAGTTTAAGAACTTTTCCTTCTTCTCCTTCTTCTATGAACCCTGGTGGCTGTTCTATGTAAACTTCTTCTTCCAAATATCCATTTAAGAATGCTGACTTTACATCCATTTGAAAGAGTTTCCATTCTTGTTGAGCCGCAATCGCCATTATGATCCTTATTGTATCATATCTTGAAACCGGTGCAAAAGTTTCAAGATAATCCACACCATACTCTTGTGTGAATCCTCTGGCCACCAATCTTGCTTTGTGTTTGATTGCTTCTCCACTTGCATCAGTCTTCAAACGAAAGATCCATTTGACACTGATCACATTTTTGTCTTTTGGTCTTGCCACAACTTGCCATGTTTTGTTCTTCTCGATCATCCGCAACTCTTCTCTCATGGCTTCTATCCATTTTCCATCTTTCATTGCTTCTTCCAAGGCTTGTGGTTCTTCAGCCATCATGAGACACATCTCATGTATAAGTGCCTCTCCTTCAACTTCATCGGTTTGGTTCATGAGATCATTGATTGATCGGAAACCTCTTGGACCAACATTATTTTCTCCTTCTTCTTCTGAGTTTTGAACTGCTCTGTTTGAAATATGAAGTTGATTCAAAGCGTTGCTCACTTGATCTATTTCAGCGTTTAGATCATTTCCTCCTCCTTGTTCTTGTGAGTTGATCTTGACTTGCGATAGAATCGATTTTCTTTCTCCTTTTTCATCATGACTCCATGTTTTCTTCTCATCGAATGTCACATCTCTTGACACTTCGATTTTTTCTTCATTTAGCAATAACACTCTATACCCTTTTGATTCGTTGCTGTAGCCTACGAACAGCCCTTGTTTGGCTTTAGTGTCAAGCTTTCTTCTCTTCTCATCCGGTATGTGTATGTAACATACACACCCAAAAACTTTCAAGTGATCAACACTTGGTTTCTTTCCGCTCCATATCTCAATTGGTGTAACTCCTTTTTCCAATGAATTAGATGGCAATCTGTTTTGCAAGTATGTTGATGTTGCAATAGCTTCAGCCCAAAACTTGTTAGATAACTTCTTCTCTTCGATCATTGATCTTGCCATCTCTACAAGCGTTCTGTTTCTTCTTTCCGCTATACCATTTTGTTGTGGAGAGTAGGGAGTCGTTATCTCATGATGTATGCCACTCTCTTGACATAGTTTGATGAATTCTCTCGATAGAAATTCACCACCTCCATCTGTTCTAAGCCTTTTGATCCGATTCTCCGATTGGTTCTCCACATAAGGCTTGAATATCTTGAACTTTGTGATCACTTCACTCTTGTTTTTCAAGAAATATACCCACGTCATTCTTGAGAAATCATCAATAAACATGAGGAAGTACTTGCTCCCGTTTATTGACTCCGTTTGCATTGGACCACACACGTCTGAATGAATAAGCTCCAAGGTTTTGTTTGTGTTGCTTTGAGATTTCTTTGGAAAGCTCCTCCTTGGTTGTTTTCCCATCTCACAAGCCGCACATACGCCTTTTATTACTTCGAATTTTGGAAGATCTTCTACACTCTTTAGCGTTTGCATTTTCTCCATCTTGTCATAGTTCACATGACCAAAACGCTTGTGCCAGAGATTTGTTTGTTCTTCTTTTTCTTCGAAAGCCACATATGCTTCTTCTCTTGAATTTTTCCAACGAATTGGAAAGCTTCTGTTCTTCATCTTGATCTCCAAGATTTTTCTTCCTTTTACGTCTTGAATCACACACTTGTTGCCTTCAAAGATGACCCGATATCCATTTGATATCATTTGGGAGACACTAAGCAAATTTCTTGCTAGTTCGGGTACATAAAGTACATCTTTGATGACATGATCTCCTTTGGTTGTGGTTACTCTTATGTCTCCTTTGCCTTCGGAAACGACTTTCCCACCATTACCAATCTTTATGGTAATTTTCTTGCTACGATCCAAGGTTATGAAGTATCTAATGTCTTTAGACATGTGATTGGTGCACCCACTATCTACCAACCACGTTTCTTCTTTGATTGTTGAGATCTCTTTTTCTTCAACAGCACTAAATAGCATATGACACCCATCTTCATCTTCATCTTCTGATTCTTCAATACTTAGATGTGCTCTTTCACCTTTTCTAAGTTTACAATCTTTGGCTATGTGTCCTGGCTTGTCGCACACGTAGCATCTTCTTTCATAGTTTGCACCTCTTTGTGAAACGCTTTCACTCTTCTTTCTGAAACAATCTACCTCATTGTGATTGTTCTTCTTACACACGCCACACCACATGTTGGTCTTCCCATGGCGATCTTTGTTTTGCTTGTTTCCTCCTCTTGAACCAAGCTTTTCTCCATAAAACGCACCCTCATTGATACGATCTTCTCGGAGATTTAAACGCCTCTCATGCGCCTTCAATGTTCCTATCAACTCTGTGACAGAAAGAGTTGATAGATCTTTTGTTTGTTCAAGTACCGCAACGATGCTGTCGAATTGTTGTGGTACGGAGATTAGAATCTTTTGAACCACTTGGTAATCGGACTTCTCTTCTCCATGAACTCTTAGTTGATTACTCAGATTAATCAACTTGGTTGTGAAATCATTTATGGTTTCACCTTCCTCCATCTTCAGATTCTCATACTCTCTTCTCAAAGTCTGAAGATTGATCATCTTTACTTGTGAACTTCCTTGGAACTCCATTTCCAAAGCATTCCAAGCATCTTTTGCGGTCGACGCGGGAGCAATTCTCGGAAATATAGATTCTGAGACTGCACTTTGAAGGATTTGGAGAGCCAACATGTCTTTCATCAATTGATCTTCTCTCTCTCTAATCGATTCCGATGTGCTTTCAGAAGATGGATTTGCCGTGACTCCGTTTTCGACAATCTCCCATAACTTTCGTGTCTTCAAGATGGTAATCATTTTGATTTTCCAGAACCCGTATGATTCACCATTGAAAATTGGAATAACTTGCTGCATTGTTGTCTCCATAGCTCTGATACCATGTTGGTATTTTGAAGAGGATAAAAAAACAGAGTAAGAGATAAGACTCTTCTAAAGAAGAAAAGTAAACGAAAAAACTTTTTATTGAATCTGAAACTTGTTGGTTTATTACAACAACACTCATTCACTTATATACATGTCGTACGGTCGTAACCGTTCGTAACTTGTGGAAACCGACAACTTAATAACACAACTCATTAACACACACCCGTTAATACACATTCATACATATATTAATATATGTTAAATATGTGACCAAACTCAATTACCACTAACAGTTTATAGTTTGGATCTGATTAGGGTTTTGTATGGGAAGAAAAGATTAAGCAGTCAAGCGTGGGGAACAAATTTTGCAAGCACTATACTTGTGACCTAAGGAACTTCCAGTTTTGTGTCCTCCTGTTTCTCTTCGGTGACTTAGACTATGTTTCCTCAGATTCATCATCGCAGAGAAAGAATTAATAGAGGTTGACACTGTCTTTTATTTTATTGGTTAACAAACTGAGAATTACATAGAATAAACTGTTACCATGTAACCATGGTTGACATTTTGGATAGGTAGATATATGAGATGAAGAAGAGAGATCCAACGGTAGTATCAAAGTTCATCTTTTATGTAACTTTTATTTGGCGAAGAAGACGACTCAAGAAGATATCTTGTGGCCAAAGAAGCAAGAAGGGAAGCACCATAAGGGAGTAATTCTTCATTAACTTCAAAATATGGAGAGTGAGGGTTCGCCATTGGTGAATGAGATTTGTTCTGCATCCCAACAAAGCTAAAATGTCCCGGCATTGCTTCTTGGTAGAAAGCGAAATCCTCTGATACCATCACTGGTAGCGTCTCAGCATAATTCTCAATCCCTAACATATCCACTGAAACGTTCTCGTAAAACAGGTGCAAGGCTTTGTCGTTCACAGTGGGAGGGAAAGGAGGAGTCTCATCTTCAAGAAAGTCAACTGTTGCATTACACATATTTACGCTTGCTTGCGTTGTGATAACCTGAAACATTGGACTCGCGTTTTAAAGTTTGGTCTCGAGAGGAGAGGAAGACAGAGGTCTCATCAAACTACACATCAGAGTGCAAAGTTACTGACCTGCTCAATTCTTTGCTTGAGTTGCTCAAAACTTTTAGGTGAAAGGGCTCGGAATGTGCCACCGATAGTAACAGAGTCGGGAATGACATTAAAAGCATCACTGCCTTCAAATTTAGCAACTGTAACCACCTGTAAGCACTCAAATCAACTCACATGCTATAATATGAATTCTTGAAGAGCCAATGAGCAAATTATACCTGCGAGTCTAAAGGATCTGCCTCTCGCGAAACGAGGTGTTGTAAGCTTAGAATAACATTTGAAGCTGCCAATACTGGATCTATGGCGAATTGAGGAAGAGCCGCATGACCTCCTTTCCCGCTTATCGTAGCTTTGAAACGTCCACTACCAGCCATCAATAGACCTTCTCTTGAGCTCACTTGACCTAATCCCAATAGATTGGAAACATGTAATCCAAAGATTGCACCCACATTCTCCAACACTCCAGCCTCCACGATTTTCTTTGCACCTGCTCCTCCTTCCTCAGCTGGTTGGAAAACCAGAATCACTGTACCCTGATGAATAAAATGTCCAACAAGTGTTAGATAAGAAACCAAACAACATGATGATTGCAACAGCACAACACTAAACCTGTTATTAGCTAGACAAATACAGCACAACACTAAACCTGTAGCTCCTCTTGGTGTTCTTTGAGCAACTTTGCAGCACCGAGGAGCATCGTAGTGTGAGCGTCATGACCGCAAGCGTGCATCTTCCCGGGAATCTTACTCTTGTGTTCCCATTCCACCATTTCCTATACAATTCAATCATTATCTTCTTCAATTAGAATCCACTAGCTTGCAACTCAAGTAATTTAAAATCACATAAGAAATCTGATCCATAAGTCGAATGAGAATGGTTATATCTTAAATGCCAGTTACTATGTTGTTTGTTTTACTAAAAATTGTTATTCAGAGAAATTAAAAATTTAATACTAACAGACACACATATTTTTCAAAAATAAAACTACCGAAATGCCATAATTATTCCTTTTTTGATCAGGACCACCATTTTCATTATTGGCCGGTCCTGCTCTTTCTAAATATTAAACACTAGCTAGCGAAGAAGTATCGGTGATTATGTATCACTCAACTAATTTTCCAGGGTGAGTATAGCTGGCGAGTAACGTACTCTCTAGGATTTCTAATGGACCTAAAACATGACACCATTTTGACTAGCCAAATATGAGTGATTAAACAATTTAGCTCTAGAGGGGAATAGATTCAAAAACTTTGTAAAATGAAAACTTTTTTATACCTGAATAGGAAGTGCATCCATATCAGCCCTCAAAGCAACAAAGGGGGCATGACCAGTTCCAACATATCCAATAACACCAGTTACAGCAACTGGATACTTATAAGACACACCAATCTTCTCCAGTTCTGTCCTGACTAGCTTAGATGTCTCTACTTCCTCGTAACCTAATTCTGGGTTCTCGTGGATCCTCCTTCTTATTCCAACCATCCAATCGAAAAAATCATCTCTTTTAGCTAGACTAAGGAACTTTTTAGGAATTTGAGACAACTCATTCGAGGAACATGAAATCAGACACGAGTTGAGTAAGTGAAGGATCAAAACAAAAGAAACCAATTTGCAGAAACTCATTGTGAATCAAGAGATTTCTGCGTGATGATGAAGTAAGAAAACATGAAGGAGAAAGCGGCATTTATAACCAAGAACTCACAAAATAGCAAGCCAAATACAACACGGAAACTTCATAAAATCTTCATCTTTTTTGTAATTTTCTTCGATCCCAAGTCACCATAAAAAAATATTATTTTCCCAAATTTATTAGGATCAACTAGCGAAGGTTTCTTGTTAGTATATCAATTATTGTGACGCTTGACGAAATTTAAATATTTTACTCACGGTTCGAATTCGAACTTAATAAACATGTGGAACATTTTCACTGTGAAGTTGATCCCAACTTCTTCTTCTTACTTAGTCATCGATTGTATAGTTTCGGTTAAAATATAATTAAATTATTAAATGAAAGAAAAGGGTTGTTTAGTATGAACCTAGATTATAAACATTAGAAGATACAAAGTAAATAAAGGTTTCGAGAATGTATTTGGTTTAAATTTTCTGATTTGCAAGATCTTTTCTCTTTGTTTGGAGAATCATTTCATTTTCAGTTCAAGCTTTCGTGACACGTATTGTTGGACGGTGTGTATATTTTCTCTTGGTACAAATAGCTACAAAGCACGTCTAAAACGTGTTTGATGGATTCTTTCATAAATATTTATTCTTTTTGTACGTATTTTTTTTTAAAAAACAAAACATTGGAAAAAAAAAGAAAGAAAAAACATTTCGCCAAACCATTTCTTCGACTATAAAACGAATTCCGTGATTGGTTTTAAATGGTAGCGATCCTGACCTAAAACGGGTAAACCATGCATGCTTTAGACATTGAATTTTCTTTGTAATTTTAGGGGCAATTATTTCCAGTTTTGATTTAAATCGTCTTTCCTTATATATTGGTTATTCTCTCTTTCTTTCGTTGTTTTAGGAAAAATGGGTAAAAAAACCTTCACTTTTTCTAAAAACATGTAAAAAACCTTCAACTTTTTTTGTGTGATTTTAAACCCTCACTTTTTCATAAGTGGTAAAATAACCGCTAATATTAGTAAACTCAACTTAATTTTCTTTTATCGTTATATTAAAATTAAATCCAGCTTAGGATATATGATTTTTTTTTCCAAATTCGTTTGCAATTTGTTTTTCTAAATTTAAGGTTTTTGCGCTATAAAAATTCATTCACAATTTAGTTGAGATTATACAAATAATTTTTGTTACCATTAGACAAATAGCACATTTGATTTTTTTTTTTGAATTTTCAGTTTTTGGATAAAATATTGTTAAATAACGATTAACTAAATGTAATTTATATTATAGTTTTAGTATATCGTGATATATATATATACTGTTAGTAAATCTTATTTTGTTCGTCCAACGAAAATATTTTGATGTGCAAATTCATGTACTCTTTGTAGTATTATAAAATTTGGTTTGGTCTCACATTAGTATATTTGTGTGATCGAACCGAATACACGTTTACTAACATAAACTCATATTCTGTTCGGTATAAGAAAATTATGATAACAAGACGTAACCTTCAAAAACATTTATTAAGATTTACATTATTATCTGAAAAATATTATGGTGAAAAAATGCGATCATAAGTAAAAAAATATTAAACAAAGAGTTGTACTGAGAATAAGCAATATTTTAATTTCTTAAAAAATTATAAATATATCCAACAAAATAGTATGATAAAAAAAACACAAGATTTTGGATTGTGTTATGTTAAAGAGAGATAATCCTCTTAAAAAATTAACAAATAACCAAAAATTTAATATATTTTTCTTATGATCGCATTCTTTTCACCATAATGTTTTTCTAATCATAATACAAATCTTAATAAATGCTTCTGAATGTTACGTGTCGTTATCATAATTTTCTTAAAATATATTTTGACTTATTTTAAAAATATTTTTGCAAAATTGTCTTAATTTATTATGATATTTCGTTTGATATCGTGGAGGTCCTAATTCATAGTTAAATATATTAACAAATTTAATTTTGACATGTGGCCATATCTTATGTTTTAGTATTTAGCAATTTTGAAAACAGAATTTTATTTAATAAGAAGATATTCTTGCTGTCAGTTTTATATGGTTTCCATAATTTATGTAATACGTTTAAAACTGCATTTTCCAAGATTTTACTCCAAAATTTTAAAATTTGAAATCCATGGCCCTTTACTTTATCCCAATCTTCATGGACTAAGTTTCATGTTCTCCTCAATTTATTCCATTTTTCTTAGGAACAAAGACAAACGACATGATTCAAGCTTTACTGGTTTCTAGTTTTTGATCCCTCTAGTACAGTCGCTTTTCCTTGACACCATGAGGAAATGAAATGAACATGCAAAAACAACAGCATTTAGAAGAAAGTTCCTTTACTCTTCTTGAAAAAACCCAATTTACGAGTAATTTTAGACTTCTAAACATAGAAACGGATGCTCCTAGGGACTGAAAAGAACTCAAAACTCTCTTATTCAATAATCTGACATGTCAAAAATATGATAAAGGATCACAATACCTGTAATATCTCATTGTGAAAGAGGAGATAAACTAATGACCAGTTCGGTCCATGATCATACTCTAAACTCAAGCACTTATCAAAACAAAAACCAAGAGTGACGAGTGGAAGATATGTTAGAACCCAACTCAAGAATCTTGGGTGCAAGTTGCAGTAAGGGCTCCAATGCGCTTGGAGCAAACTTTCTCGCAAATAGATAACAGATTTGAGACTGCTGATCATTGTAGAGGCAGGATTTGGCTCCCGGAAGCTTCTTGAGAAAACTTTCCGTTATATCAGCCTTACCAAAAGTAGCTGGATGAGCACCACCACGTGACCAATCTGTCCATGTCAATGTCCGATTAGCCAGCAAAAGACGATGTTTCATAGACAGCATTGTGGGGAAGTAATGTTCATCAACATAACATGGAGGTCTACAAAACTCTTTGAATTTGGGATAGTATGTAGTGTCTTGAACAATCTCAACAGCGAGTTTCCGGTTAATTTCAAACCACTGAGACCCTTTCCGCCACTGGCTTAGAGTGATCTCAGGTTCCATTTCAGTCCTGTATCTGCCTCTTCCATCAGGTCCTTCCTCATCAGCAGCACCCATGAAACTATACTTTGATTCAGAGACATAACTATAGATAAAGCTGAAACCGCGCAGAGGAATGCATGACTCAGACAGCAGAACAAACCATTCATTAGAGATATCGAGCAACGCGTTAGCCAAAAGCCTCCTCTCAGCTTCACCCATACTCATCTCTCCCCATGCCACAGCCTATAACAAAGAAAGAAACTGATAATGTAAGGAACACAAGAAACAAACACAAAACAAGTGGTTGCAAGATTTTCCTCTGAAACATCAATGACAGTACCTGACTAGGGATATATCTTCTGTAAAACACAGATGACCTCGAAAAATCCGATTTATAATTAGGCAATGAATGAACATAGATAGAGTAAAGACCCTCATTTCCCTTAAAGAACTTCTCCCAAAGTGGAGCAAATGGTAAAGGACCTTTGGCAAGAAACATGAAAGCCAGTTTAGGTACTCGTTTAAACGGATACCCATTTCTCTGCGGCTCTATCGAAGCACGCCAAAGCAATTCAGTGTCATTCATTGAGTGCCAAACATTGGAAGGAGGTCTAATAAAGCTATCTAAACTAACAGTCTCATGGTCATACATAGAGAGCACAGTGGTTGGAGCCACAGGATCCAAATGTTGAATCTTTAAGAACTTGATCATGTGTATACCAACAACAGAGATCCCAAGAGTCAAAACAAGAAACAATAACAAAATCTGAAGCAGACGCATTGATAAAAGAGCTCTAGTTTGGTTTGTGACTCTCGATTTAGGGGTTGATGCACCATTTTCTTTAACACCTTCCTCCATCTCCATTACCATCACTTTCATCTAAAAAGCTCCTCACTTTCTTAGCTATCTACAACAACAACAACAACAACAAAAAGTTTTTTTTTTATAGAAACCCAGAAGAAAGATTTGGGTTTTTCAAAGAGACGAACGAATTTTGATTTATAAAAATCAGAACTTGAATCTAAAGAAGAAGAAGAAGAAACAAGAAAGAAAGAAAAATTGAATCTTTCTCAGTTAGACATTTGAACAAGCTCTCGAATTTTAGCATTTGATTATGCGTCGAAGACTTCTGTCTAATGAAGAAATCCATTCTGAAATCTCTCAATCTGACTTGTGTAGATTGACCGTTTCAGCTTTTGATTTCGCATTTATCTCTACAATAATTATTTGAGAAGTAGAAACGCACCATATTGAAAGTTAGGGCATTGGAGGCCTGTGGTTAAAAGTTAGAATGATTTGTCCTAAACACCCTTAATGAATTGTTCTTCTCGAAATTTCTCCTTCTTCGTAATTAGGGGTATATAAGTCTAATCGTGTGTTGATCTCTATTATAATGTCCTAAACACCCTTAATTCGAAAATTTTTGTTCTTAGTTGTTAAGGGTATATAAGTCTAATCGTGTTTTGTGATGATTAGTCTTAATCACCCTTAATTTTTTTTATTTTATAGTATGATCGCTGGGGATATGGAGGTCATAATATCTCGACTTTAATGATTATGGAATCTTAGCTTAAATTTATTTGTTAATTTTTTGGATAATTCTATAATTTAGCAGTTAAAATTCGTTTTTGTTAGTTTTCTGATTTTGTTTCTAATTAAAAAGTAAAATTTCTTAAGATAATGATTGGTGTTTGCCCTAATCTTAAAGCTATATATATTGTTGATCGGCCAGAGGATTAGGTATTATTTTTCTGTGGCCATTAGATAGTTTTCACCGTTATGGTTTTTTTATATAGCTACTACGATTCTGATGAATCGAGTTGTTTGTCATGCAAATATTGTTTTTATGGACCTTTAAAGGTCGTGTGTATATTGTTTGTGTTGTTTGTTTTATTTTTTTGCATTATTCGATGATTTATTGTTTTGCTAATTTGTTGTTTTTGGTGTGTGTTTCAGTTTTGTATAACGTGGGAGGTTCCATCGACAAAGCTTTCTGACGAAGGTGGTGTTGACGAGCAAAGAGCGAGGTTTGGGGAGGTACTTCTATAGTTTTAATTTGTATATTTTTATATTTATTTACCCATATACATTTATGTGTTTCTTCCTGTTATCGTATATACTTTTATATGCGATTTTATTGCGTTTTATTTTTTAGTATTGATTTATAATTAAATTGTCAAATAGTTTTGAGTTTATGTACAAGGTTTGACATCTTATTGTTTGATTTTCATCTTACCGTGATTTTGAAGGTACTCGATGAACTCATATCTCGGTTTGTGTCGGTTTATTGGAAACAGGTATTTCTCTTATTTGTATCTAATATGTTGGTTATTGTGGATCGGTTTTAGTTTGATATTAATTTTCTAACTTTTAAATGATGATTTGGCTTTTGTTTTTTGTATATATATTTCGCGATAATCAAATGTTACGGGTTATTCTTATTTCGTACCGTTGGCTTAGGTAACCGCTGGTGTTTCCTTCTCCCGAAGATGCACGAATGATATGTTTTATTTTAATAAGGTATTTTGTCGAATCTTGTGTATTTATTATGTAACGTAATAATCGTTTTATGTTTAATTTATATATTTGTTTCTCTGATGTTTTAGACCACACGGGATTGGCGTAGAAGAGTTGTTGCTCCGTCGTGTTTTACGGATCGCGTGGGCTTTTGTAAGCATGTATGTTTGTTCTCTTATTGTCTTATGTGTCATGACTTGTATATATAGACATCAGAATATCTTACCATTCTATAAGGTATGATTTTAATTGTTTTGTTTGTTTGTAAAGGTTTTGAGTTGGCTGAAGTATTCATTGCGACCGAATATTTTGAAAGAGGTATGTTGTGTGTAGTTTACGTATTTGTTAGATCCTATGTCCTATTATTATAGATGTCTTCGTGTTTTCTAAATTATTTGTTTGTTTTCTATTGTCTACTTATTTTTGGGGTTTTTTTTTTTTTTTTTTTTTTTGATGTAGAGGACTGAGATTGGAAGCAAAGCTAGGAGTTACAGCAGTATCTATTTGTTGTTTAGTTATATTGCTAAGGGTAGTGATGTATCTGTTGATAGATACGGATCATATCCTTTGGTGTTTGGTATTGATCAAACCGTACCAAATTTTGGATCGGGGCCTATATTTGAAGACTCTGATGATGAGTAATTATTTTATTTGAATTTGTTGCTATTTATTTGGCTTCTATATATTTTATTTAGTTAATGATTAATATTCTGTTTTAAAAATTTATGTCGATCTAACTCATTATATCATATTAGCGATGGTTCTAATTATTCTTATTGGCGTTATCTATCTTAATATGGTGTGAGTTTGTTTTGTGTATAATCTAGAGATTCACATAGTTATTAATATTATTTTGTTGCTGTTCTTATGTTTTAAATAGTTATTAGGAAAAAGATATTTTTTAAATTTAAAAATTTGTGGCTATGACTGCTTATTTCAATTTCCACCGTGTATGTGCACTGTAAACAATTGTTTCATTTATTTCGAGATTTTCTATCTCTCTCTGATTCCTAAAAGAAAACTGAAGGGTCTTGGGCGGTGGTTTCGTTCAAAGATGTCCGAGCAAATCTACCTTTCTAATCTTTCTCGAGGTAGGACGCTTAAGTACGTTCGGGTGAAGATTCTGAGTCTTTGGAGGGTTCGCATCTATGGATTTAGGTGTAAAACAGAAATGCTTCTTGCCGACGAGCAGGTGCGTGTGTCTTTGTCGTTTTTTCTTTTGATCGGTTAGTTTGTTGATTTTGGGTGGATCTGCTAGATTATTTTTATAGTTTTGCTTATTTTATTATAAATCTTTAAGGATTATTTGTCTTTGGTTTGTGATTCGTTGTTTAGTTGTGTTAAGAAATATTTGATTTTTTGTTGTTTTGCATGTACCTAGGGGACAAAAATTGAGGGTACAATCGGTTGTGGTCCTTTCCATAACGTTGATATGAGGGAGTTAAGGGAAGATGCGTGGTATACTATTTCTGACTTTGTTGTTTCTGTTCCGATCCGGAGGACCCCGAACACACTTCACCCTTTCCATATCAAGTTCCACAGTGATACAAAGATGACATTGATTTATGATCTCTACTCGCCCAATTTTTTTGAGTTTGCAAAATATTCTGTCATTAAGAGGAGGCTTTTGGAGGCAAATCGTCCCTTTGGTGTGTCACATTCTTTTTATTAGCTAATCTCATTTTTGGTTTCTATTATTGTTTGAAGTATGTTTAGTTTTTTATTTGTTAGTTGTTCTGTGTTGTTAGAAACCTCTTATGTCTCTATTGGTATGATTTGTAGTGATATGTGGTCTTTTTGTGAGTTTGCTAGATTTATGTGGAGTTGTGGTCTATGTGTCTGAAATTAAAAGGATGACTTATGTTCCCGGAGAGTATGATGCAAGTACTGCATGCAATTATCTATATTTCCGTCTCATGGATCAGAAGTAAGTCTATGAATTTGATTTTGTTTTGGTGCTATATTTAGTCCATGGTTATTCTTGGTTTTTTTTGTGATTATGTAGAGTTTATTTAAAGACTGTCACTGATCTTAAGTGTTTTTGAAACGGTGATTAATAAAACAGAGGTAGGGAGCTGCCATGTTTTGCGCTTGGTCATTATGCTGCTGATTTTATGAATGTGTGGACAAGCCGAGGCTACCAGGCTTCATTCCGTTATCAACCTGTTTTCTGTGTGTTGCGTTTCTGGAAAGTCGATGAGTTCATGGGTATGCATTTGGTGTATTGATGTCGAATCTATTATAGATAATATATATAAAGGGCTTATTCAAATTGTGTTGATGTGGCTATAGGTGAACCTTCTATCTCCACCAGAATTGGTTGTTCTAAGATATATCTTGAGCCCACATTACCGGAGATCAAGGACTTGAGGATGATGTAAATGATTATTGTGATTTTTTAGTGTTTATATATGTAGTTTGATTTTGTTAGGGATTCAAATTATTATTTGGTTTAAGGTACTAAAGTTAATTCTCAGGTCGGTTTTCATAGCTAGGGTTACATGGGCTATTGAAGTAGGTGAGGATTGTGATGACGCCGGTGAAGTTGTTGATCAGAATTCTTAATGTTCTTGGTGTAAATCAAGAATTGTATCCCTATTTTCCGTAGTGTGCATAAACATGGATACCCTCTTCTGTTGGTTTAATATCTTTTTGTAAAAATCTCTTCTTCTTGTGTTATGTTATTATGTCATGTTGAGATATTTATTTGGGTTTTGTAACAATTATCTTTTGTGTTCGAGTTTTGAATATGTCTTTATCTTTAGATTCGTTGAAGTTATCTAAACTACTTTATAGATTTTCTAATTATTTTATATTGTAGATTAGCTTGTGGTAGAGATTATGTCAGATTTTTGATGTATGACTTGTGTTGTCATATCTTGCATGGTTTGTAATAATTACACAGCCGAAATATGGATAGTTGCTGTTTCCAATCATCAAATCTTCTGAACGGATAAAAACCTTTTTATTTAATTATTGATTATTCAGTAATCGATGTTACGTTAGATTGATTTCTATATTAGTTGTAATATACTTCCAATTCCACTTATTAATTCACGCTGCTACTTCTAAAAAAAAAAACAGAGGAAAAAAAAACTCTTCGATTTCTTGCTTCGTCTTTTCGGATTATCGATATTTCTTATTGAAGTATCTATAACCAGTTATCAATTTTAGTTGTTTCCTTTACCATGGCTTACTTCCATGATGTTTCGATTTTGCGCCCTTGTATTACGGGTTGGCACATAAGAGTGAAGGTTCTGCGCATGATTACTGTTTGCATAAATCCTCGGAATGCTCTCCGTTTGGTTCTGGTGGATGATAAGGTACTTTGGTTTTGTTCTGTATAGATTTGATTTTAAAATGCTAATTCGTGTTAGTTACTAAACAGACTATGTCGTGTGTCTAGGGTTTTAAGATCGATTGTTGGATTAATAGTGAATATGCGAAACATTATGCTGAGTTTTTGAAGGAAGATCGATGGTTTTCTTTTACGGCGTTTCGTGTTCTTGAGAACTCTGATAGGGTCAGGCTTACCAATCATCATTTCAGAATGTCTGTCTTTGGAACGACTGTCGTTCTTCCCGCCGATCCACCGTCGACTGAACCCCGTGACTCCTTTACTCAGTTCAGTTCGATAATTGACGGAACGGTTGACGAGAGTGTCTTGATTGGTAAGTTATATATAATGCTCATTTTGTTTGTTGTGTTTGGAAATACCTGTCTGAATTATAGTTGTGTCTGTTTCTTAACTAGATTTGATCGGGGTTTTGTCTGATGTTGGTGAATTGGTGAATGTCGGGACAAATCCATCAGATCTCACTGGCTTCAGACTGAGCTTTCGGATTCGTGGGCCTTGGTTAGTAAATAGATATTTTCTCCCTTTGTGAATTTTGTCTGGGTATTGTCCTGTTTGGTGTTAAATGTTAATTATATCATTTTTATTTTTGTTGTTTTGTTTGTGTTTTCTTGAATAAATATAAAGCGGGAATGCTATCGAGGGTTTGGTGTCGGGACGCTCAGCGATGGAGTTCCGAAAGCACTATGACTTGTGTGTTTCGAAGCCTTTGGTCTGTATTATGCGTCTGTGGAAGGTAGACAGATATTTCGATGGACCAAAGAATGTTAGGATTGTTAACCAGGGGCTGATTTCTAAGGTTTTGCCATATCCTGATGTTCCTGAGGCTGCTGAATTTTGCACTATGTCGGTAGTCATTTCCTATGTTCATTATTATTTTATTTTTTATTTTTTTGTTTTTATATCTGATTTTTTGTTTGGCTACTTTGTCTTAGGTCTTAATGTGTTGGTGAGACAAGTGATTCGAACTAGGACATTAACGGTGGATGCGTAGTGCGATTCGTCTGGACGTTGCCCGTGTGACTCTTTTGTGAATATCGGAAATGTTAACTGTTCGTTTTTGGTTTTGTACTCGGATCATCTTGGTT